CAAACATAAACAATGAACAGAAATACAGAAGAAAACTACTCTAGCTGCTGGCCTGTTCGAACACGCTACAACCCCCCCTCCCACTAACCCTTTAGGAGAAAATACTGACAGCCAGCACTGCTGCTTCATCATCTGGAATCCACTGAATATGGAAAAGGAGGCATGAGTTTAAGACAAAGAGACATGTTTACATGACAGTAACAGGATTACCTAACCCAATATACTCATCCGGTTTGAATAATAATAATGAAATTGTATTAATAGGTTGCTCTTTTGAAGTCCGTTTTCATGAGAATGGAGGAGGTCCTTTCAAAGCACCTTGTTTTCTATCTCAAGATGGTTAAGATGTTGCATCTCTAACAAGAGGGAGGAGTGATGCTGATCCTCCCACCTCTTAAAACTCTTCTTCCTCGAGAACCCATTCTGTTAATTAACCAAACCACAAGGGGCCTAAACATAAGTCCAAATGCTCAGTTGTTTTGATTTAGGTTCACTCTATATGAATGAATAAGAGCATGAAGCTAAGACTGATCATGGGATATATATTCAACATATGCCTGTGTGTGTGTGTGTGTGTGGGATGCTCGGGGGAGTTCAGGGTCAGGTCAGACCTCATAGAGAAAGAGTAAGTGTGCTGCTTCAAGTGTAACCTTAATACAACCACCCCGGTCTCCCTTCTCCTTTGTCACCTCACTGACTGTCTTTCTTTTAATTACCCACCACTGCCTGTCCAGCTGCTAAGCAACCACATTTCTCATGTATGATATTGTTTTGAAAAGATAAACAAGTGTATGCATGAGGTGAAGCGATAACCAGAATGGACAGCTGATGGTTGAAATATTAGCGGGTAAATTGTTTAGCCTTTTTAACTGCCTATCTGAAACACAGACACACACACACACACAGACACCGAGCTACATCATGACAGATCTGACAGCGGGTTGTTCATGTGGTGCTGACAGCTTTATAAACACACCTCTTTCTTACATCTCCTGGGATGCCAGAGCCACTAGCAAATCAGTTGTCTATTAACACGGTTCTGCCAGAGAATGATGCACCCCCCCCTCCCCGGAAAAATATCAAAAGTAAGTATGCGTTAGTAGAGTCGAAAATATGCATTGTTTAATGCCAAATATATTGTGTTGCATTCTATTTGACATGGTCGAACCGGCTACAATTATAGAGTAAATAATCATCACATCTCTCCTGCAGTGGATGCAGCCTCAAATTTTGATAAAACTTACTGCTACCAAAGTTAATTTTAATACGGTTTACTAGACTAGATTGGCATGATCAAATAATTAGGGAATTGCAGCAGAATACGGAACTAGAGCAGAAATTGATCAAGCATGCCTACTGAAATTGGAAAGTAATAAAGTTCATTTTGTGATAAAATTGCTTTTGTTGGAAAAATATTGAAGACGCAGGATTCAGAGGATTAATGGAGCAGCAACGACTAACAACTATTTGCCGTGTAAAAACATAGTGGTGACGTCTGCCTGGGCTGATAACGACGGCTCTCTCCCTCCGCGCGTGTTTCTACCAGAGCTTCTCGTTGCGTCGGTGACATGGCTGGGCCGGCAATTGTTCTGCTCTGCGCTCTCACAGCACTTAAAAATGAACACCGACCCTCTGGTTCCCTCAGGTAAACACCGTTAGCTCCATCAGCACCATTAGCTGGGAGTCGCCGGCTCGACTCGATATCCATGTTTGGATCAGTGGAGGGACATCGTAAATCTTTCCAATCTAATAATAGACACGCTTATGAATGCATTTTAAAATTTAACAGTTCTGCATTTTTTATTTGTGGTCTTTTACCACAGGGATTAGCGGAAGATTTTAACCCTTTATGTGGGACATTTTGATTTTTAACTGTTGTGTTGTTGACCTGTTGGCTGCAACAACACCAATGCATTCAGGTGTTTGAAATAATGTTTTCATCAGTTATTTACATTAGTTATTTACATTTTAAACTAGTTTAGGTGCTCTTCAATCCTTCCATGCAACAAAAGCAACCCACGGGGAAAAATCTGTATGTCTCATTGAGTTCACACATAAATATGCAGTTTTTGCAAATTATCAGTGTTTATTGCACTCTATGCACGATTCCCTGACTGCCTTTACCCGACTCCACTCTCATTTCTGAATTACTGCCTGCATTCAGACATTTTATATGATTAGATATTATTTTCAATTTGTATAGATTCCCAAGTAAATGGAAACCTAATTTTGCGCTGATGAAAACAATTCACAAATCAGATTTAAAGTATACATCAGGGCCAATTTGGCTTCATAAACTGCTGACAGGGTGGATGGGCTTTGCCTCCGTGCTGAGCAGTTCCTTCTATCCTCGCTCGACCCATCTGTAACTGCTCCTGCTCCACGTAGGATATTTGGACAGTGGATTTTTGTACTCCTTCAAATGCAACATGTTTTCTAACGGAGTGTCTGTTTCTGTTCATACCTTTGGATGTTATTCTATATCCCGCACCCAGGTTGCTAAAGGGGGAATCCACGGCATATCACATATGACAGATACGTGCAGCTGCACTGTTTGCTTGCCGGTGGGCTTAAATGCCGTGTTACGCCGGGCCACACCCTGTGATGTCACAGCGAGTGTTTTTAATCAGCTGTCAAAGGCCAAAACACTGGCTTTCATCGACATTAGTGCCCGGGGAGAGCATTGCAGCAGCAGGCTTTTTGACCATTTTTTCCACTCGCTGTGGATTTGAACTATAAAGTGTACATTGAGGACTGCCGCATTTCATTTTATTGAGGACTGACGTGATTTCTTTTTCCAATGGCAGGTGGCACTGCTTTGGCTATTGACCGTTCCATCGCTATCAACCTATTGGGCAGGCACCCCTGCTTTAGATGTATTCCTAATTATGTTAAATACTGTTTATGTGTGTATCTTTGCGTCTATTCTCTTTGACGTCATAATCAGCCTTCACTGTGTGTACACCCGCTTTTTGGTTGGGGAGGAAAGGTGCTCCAGCTGCGGTGTGATAATAGAATAGATGTCAACGCATGCAGATGGGATACACTCGCTGTGTGCAGCAATAGCTGACAAACCACGAGCTTAGAATGAGAACATAGAGTATCCAAGCATGCCGAGCTTCAAAGTTCTCAGCATCAATTGACGTAAATGGAGATGGTTATTTTTATTTACTTTGGGAAAACTTATGAAACGCTTAATGGGTGGTTGTTGAATGTGTTTATATGACTCAATCGGAATTGGAAAAATCTGCTCCTCAGCCAAGAATGAGGCTGTAATATTCAAGGCACTGGCCTGACAAATTCTGGCGAGATCCTGCATGCAGGGCAGACTCTTTTGAGAGAGTTTGATGACATTCTCCTCCTTTGATCTGATCCACCGATTACCCTTGCCGTGTTCCCAATTTACCCCTTTATTCAAATACGGCCAAAAGGAAAAATTGAGTTGGAGTCAATCAGGCGTGCGCTCTTTTAACCGACGAATGAAGCACAAACAATGCACTGCTTTAGACGTGTCTCTGCAGTTTGATTTAAGAAAAGCACGCATTTCCAAAAAATGAACGACATGTTTGCCACATAGCTTCAAGTTAGAAAAGCAGAGTCTGTTTAAGTGTATTATCCTGAAACACAGCCTCCCTAAAAAGATGATTAATGATCATCAAACTTCACTTTCTGTTAAGCTGAAATGTGCCACATTTGAAATGTTCAAATGTGCAATCCCCAAAACAGGGCAATGAAAATTTTCCTCAAATGATGGTCACTCACTGTTGACTCACTAACTGATCATATGACCTTGTCTGATACTGTTCGTGTAGAAATGTGATCTTCCGTTCCTCTCACATTGTTCTTGTGGCCCGGCCACGAAAATACTTAAACGTTATTAGTGAGGCTAGTGAAAAGCGGAGTGGTGGTGGCAGTGCGTGGGCGGGAGCTCTAATATGATTGGCTCAGGGACACTGCGAGCCTGAGTGGCAGCCCTTAATGGGAGCCCTGGAGAGGTAACCCAACAGCTGTGTGTTTGTAGCTAATGAGCGATGGGGGAGGAGTAAAGGATCACAGACTGGAAACACTCTGATAAACTCTTGCCTTAGAATGGCTGGGGAAGATAGGCAATCAAGTTTTCTCCGGAGGCGATTGCTTAAGGCTTTCCTTTGTGACAAAAAAATAAATAAAAAACTGCAGTTGACTCATTGCCCCTGGTCCATTGCTTATGCTTAAGTAGCTATGATCACTAACATCAGTGTTGTGGAAGAAAAGAAGGGAACAACTGTGGCGTGGGATGGATCTCGCTCCCTGCTGAGCCTTGCTGATTTAAAGCCTGGAGCACTGTGTTCATTTTATTTACACTGCTGCACATTTAACAGATGATGTTCGACACAGCTATATTATCGCAATAAAAACCAAAGCACAGTTCATTTTCTACACTGAAAAGAAATGCACAATGGTAATATGAAATACCCCAAAATTGAGCAAAGTTATCATTGAGTTCCTCCAAACATCCTCAGCTGGTAGTCTTACTTCCCTTCCCTTATTATAGCGCCTGAGGGTGGCGCCAGATGCATAAGCAGTGTCCAACCAGCTTCCATTTTAGGCCATTCATTTTTCTATATTTTTTGCTACATGGAATACATATCAACAAGTAAACTGTCCGTGCAGCCTACCTGTTACATACCAATTTGGCAACGTGTACAATCGAGTGCATTTTGTATCAACAGAAGCAGCTGTCACGTTGCAGCCGGAGCGCAACACGCGCAATGTGTGCGCGGCCGGCTCCTTCTGTAAGGTGCATCTCCCACCCATCTGAGGCGACCCAGTTTGATGAGATCTCAAAGTGTTTGGAATCACACAATTTCCTGGTGGGCAGCCCAGGCATAATGTGATGTTGAGTGTGAAGTTGCTGTGTGCTGCGGTGGATGAGAGCCCCACCTCCTCCCACGCTCCGATGATTAGAGAGAGAGAGAGAGAGGGAGGGAGAGAGCAGGGGAGAGAGAGAGAGAGGGGGGTGAGAATCTAACCTACCCACGGCATTTCACCACTTGCTCTCTGGAAACGCTTCAGATGGGCTCCTGAATTCGGGAACCGGTTGGCTTTGCAGTTTTTTTACGTCGCAAGAATAAAACATCCACGTTGCCGTCGCTCAGACATCCCGCGCGCCCGTAACAGTGCGTTTTCTAGCCCGCTGACATCACGGGGAGCGCGCGACAAACTTGGGAGCAAAAGGGACGCGCGGAGGAGTACGTAGCTCGGCGGGGATGAGTTGTTGAGGATTTCACGAATGGCACACAGTCGGCTCTCCCTGTGGAATGAGACTCTTCGTTCTCTGGCTCCATCATAAAAAGAAACAAGAAGCACTAAAACTTCTCCTTTTTTATCCCGCGGACACAAAAACATCTGCTCGGCGATAGCGAAGGACCACGACGGGCACCGACATCTGGTTTTGAATTTTGTTTTTCTTCTTCCAAGCGGAGAGTTGCGAATGCTCTGATTCGGATTTTCGCGGAGGGGTGAAGTTATTTTGACGCCGACCACTGTGACGGGGGTTTGAGGGTTAGACACCTGCCTCTGGGATCCCCCCGGCTGACACATAGCAGGTACCGGGATGAATGCAAAGACCAATCCGCATGGGGAAAGTTGATGTTGTCGGGTGATTTGTGTCGGGAACTTTCTCCCCGGAAAAAAACCCAAAAAGATGTCAGACTTGGAAGTGGCGTACTAATAACGCCGCTCGGGGTCCTGTTGACTTGTTTCTTTTTAAGCCGACAACAAGTTGGCCGCGATGCGCTTCACGGTGGACGCGCCGACGTGTTACAGGTTGAGCGGACGCGCGGGGATGAAATTGGCACACATGTCGAACCCCGCGGATGACGCGCCCCGTTATTGATAATGCGATGCATCGCGACTAGAAACACATCCCGAGTTGAGTCTTCGCCTTCGTTGAGTCATTATTAAGCGTGCATCTAAAATATATGAAGGGGACGCGCTTCAATCTGACGAGGCCTACAGGGGCGATCGGCTAATTGCATTTTATAACACCATTATGATCACGTGAAGCGGAAAACGTGATCCATTCGTATAGCATCATTTCCTCGCCATTTCTTTCATACTAGCAGCAAATATCTCACTAATTGCCCTCATTAGTGGATCTTTATTTGGTGCGGTTTACATAAGAGTGACGTTTTTTTGTCTTTCCGCGCAAAAGAATGTTCTGACGTATTGAACGTCAGAACGTTAAGAACTATTCGTCAGTTCAGTGGGAAGAATCACCTAAATAATTGCAGGAGCACCCCCCATCACCCCTCCCTCCCTCCTCTAAGAAAAACCTTTGATCAGTGCATCCGCACTGGTAATCCCCCCCCCCCTCCTCTAGCGAGAGTCTGGGGTGTTTTTTCTCTCCACTCCACCGACCACCGGGCACATTTTAATAGTCTGCCCTACGAAGCGACGTCGGTCAAAGTCCTCACATTTACTGCGGTCCACCCAAAAGACAAAGCCGAGGAACGTGACCGGCGGATTATGAAGCACTTTAGTCAGGAGTTTGGAAAAAGACAGATTTGGTGATTAGTTCTGCCAATAATTCCTCTTCGGTTATTAATCTATCTATCTGTCTATCTGCCCATTTATTGATCAATCAATCTTAGTATCTATCAATCAAAAGGAAGGAGAACAAATAAGAGGAAAAGCTGTTTCATTGAATTCCCCCTATTTTATCACTTTCATAATTTGACTGACTTGCCATAACGATCAATGATGAACTTTACACGTGTCCTCTGCTCTTTTCTGAATGCTGAATAGTTCGCATTGTGTCACATAATCGAAGGCTTTCTGTTTGCCACCCAGCATCATTGGAATAGCTCAAGTGGGGGTTTCTGACATGACCAGAACAGCTATTTGGAAATCTCACTTTAAACACAACAACAGACTGTAAAGTTTGCGTCCTGTTACGATGAAGATATCGCCCGTCTAACAATGTGTGATTGCCGCCTCTTGTTGACTTTCGCGACTGCTCTTTGCAAGGGTTTCTTACCAAATGGCTGATGCTCTCTAATTACCAACAGGCAGGGTTCACTGTAACTAAAATGAGTAAATTCTATTGCTTGACCAGCTGTAGGGAGGCCGACGCTGTGATACTAACCCCATCATAAATCATGCTGGTGGGAGGGTAATGGGTTTCACCTGTTCCACCCACTAAAGGCGCAGAATCAGCCAATATATCAAATCACCTCCGTTGAGAAAATCATTACATCATCCGCTATATCTTTCCTCACACTAGCGATGCCGTGGAGATCATATCTTGTGGCAGACATTCATGAGCTTGATCTGTGGAGAGAAATAGGTGAAAGTGCAAGCTTTGCCGAGAAACAAGCAGACTTTTGGTGCTGGATCATCATCTTCATTCCTACGATCCTTGCGATCAACAGGAATGTCTTTGATCCCGGACACAACCGCAGGCCTTTGACATCTTATTATTAACAATTAACAACTATATCATGTAACAATTACACCTCAGTTGATGCTACATAAGAGTCGTCTTTGTTGGACCTGTGGAGTGGTCAACTCAAAGAGCAAGTGTCAGTCAGTCACTGTGTTGACTCAGTCAGTAGATAGTCTGTCTCCATGGTAACCAGGACAGGCGCACATGCTCTGCAGCACAATTATATTTTTTTCCCCACATATTTTCTTTTAGGAATTATGGTAACGTTCAAATGTTCTATGCACCTTGATCTTTTTACGTTTTCAAGCAAAATACTGTTAGCATCTTTTATTAAAAAAGAAAAGAAAAAGAAAGACACTTTTGATCTCCTTTAACATCTGGAACTAAGACGGCTTTTAAATACAATTTGAAATGTTCTTGTCACATGGGAGGAAGTAGTTATACATATTCAATTGACTTTAGATAAATTATTGAATACAGGGTGATTGTAACATACATTACAGACTCAGAATATTTTGGTCTTTGGTATTGCTTTACCTGTAATTATCACAAGTATCTCCAACACAGGGCTTATACCATCCGTTCTAAATTTAATTATTATTATTATTATTTAATAAGCATTAACATTAGTAATTGATATCATTTCAAAACAGGATCTCCAGGTCCAGACAACACATCACTGTCAACTATCTGATCAAAACTCTAAATAATTGGGGTTTTGACCAACCACCTTTTTCCTTTAAAATGAAAACAACACTTAGCGTATAGTTGATTGTTAACCTCAAATTATTCTCTCCTCCCAAATATGAAATTTCAACTTTCCCAAAGACAGTTTGACAGCTCCCTGTGGTGCAAAAGGTGTTTGGCATAACACATCAAAAGCAGTTTTAAGATGATGTCTTTTTGATGTCAAGCCGAAAGAAAAATGATTGTAATCTCAATGCAAGTTGCATATATTTCCTAATTTTCCATTGGCCAACATGCAAACAAATTTCAGGTGGTGGAGTAGTAGGATTTGCGAGCTTGATTGTTACTACTTTATTAGATCCTATCCTTTTTGCTGGGATCAGCACCCTTGGGCTCAACCAGATCCTTCTAGGGAACGAGCACAGCATGATTGTCGACATGTGGAAGTGGAAATGTTCTCTTCAGCAGTGGGGTCAGTGGATGTGAGACTCAAACAGACCTTGCACTTTGACTGATGTTCAGCTTCCAGAGAAGTCTCTCCTCTTGTCCTGTGTGAGGAGCAGAGTAGCAGCACTGAGCCTTTAGGGAGCGGTGAGGGATTTGAGGCAGTTGGTATAGGTGGAATGTGGGATTTCATTGTCATTCCAAATGCCACTGGAGGAAATGGTTGGATCTATGAGGGAAGGGAGAGATCAGAGCAACTGCATGAAGAGATACAGCCTTATTCCTGTATCCGCAAGTGAAATCCAGATCTCCTCTTGTTTCCTTTTGAAGTTATTGCAACTATTCCAATATTCTCATTGTGAATTCTTTTTGCTCTGTTCTTTTTTTTTGACCAAATCAAATCATATTTTCTTTCATTATTAAAAGGTTATGGTTTTATACACAAAGAAAGTATACTCATGCACATTTTTCCATCAGAAATGTGTATTTGTTGTAGAGACACGTTTGCAAATTAAACTAAATTAAACATTGCTGTTAGAAAGACACCAAATATACAAAGAAAATATAGAATTGTGTCTAAATATATTTGATTTAGCCTCAGTCATAGTTATGTATTAGAGACATTCCTGTGTAACATCAAAAAGTGAGAAAAGACTCCCAATTGATACCATGCAGACGATTGAGAATCACTTTACCTGCTCTCTGGGAGCCACTCTTATCAATGAAGCTAATTGGCAGGTTTTTTTCTGGAGCTTGTGGATCTAGGGGGGTGATCATGATGTTGAGGATGAGTCATGAAACATAGACTATCTAGTCCACTCTTACACTTAGTCCTCCTTGCACCCCTGACAGTCTCAATAGGCTGGCTTTTTGCCAGGAAGGTTTTTTTTGCTACTGTGACAGGCTTTGTCCCACAACCCAATCGCACAGCAGTTTGCCTTGACTCCATTCTTTTTTTGCAAAGGAAACATCTTAATAGGTGCAAATGGGAAACTCATCAGGCGGTTTTTAAACCGTCTTTTAAGGTCCACCCTTTGAAGGTACTGTGGTACACACTGCCTTTGGTATTTATCTGTGTTGGAACCAGCTGGACCATTGCAGGATCACAGCCTGAGGCAATGTGTTGAATGCTGCTTCACTGGTAGAGGTAAAAGCGTAAATGCCTCGATTGTATTTGGAAAGATATCCCTTCAGAATATGTGTTGCTCATAGGTGTCTAGCCCAATGTATTTGTTGGTTGTTCTATATGTGCAGGAGTCATTGTGCAGCACATGGCACTTAAGGAAATTACGGTATGGGCTTTTAAGGCCGTATTTAGGCCTAATAGCTCTGATGTAGGAATGTCCAGTGTGAACTGCACTCATACAACTTGTTTTACAGCAGTGGTCACTCACCTAAACATTAGCCAGCTCTAAGTTGTCCTTTGGAATTGCTACCGCAAAATAGCTGCAGTTCGTTCTAGTTATGATGGGTGACACTGATGAAGAGAGAGTTTCCTGCAGGGATTTTCTTAGTTCAACACCACTATGCTGCCACAGTCCTATGGTGTTGACGGATATGAGTGTAGTAGACAAAAAGGATTTCGCTTTCTCCAGTGTTTTGATGGCTCATCCCGTTCTAGCATCTGGCAATAACTGGCATTCTAATTGAAAACGTTTGTCCTTAATAAAGCAGTGGTTAATGGTCAACCAGAACAGTAACGGGACAGACACATCTGGAAGAATGCGCGGAAGAACACCTGATTACTGATTCCTGAATAAACTCTTTGTCCTTCTCTTTGATTTTGTGCTGAGTTACGTTTCGGGATCTGCCTGAATCAGCGTGTATCTTCTGGGTCTACCACACCATCTGGGGTGGCAGACGATAACCAAGTGTCTTCAAAGGAAAAGCGCTGAGATGCAGGAAATGTCACGCCTACTTGTGTTCAGCAGTTGTAATTTATCCGCTATGCTTCTCAGTGCACTATGGTGAGACCCCCGCTCACCCAGCAGTGAACTAAATATTAGCATTTGTTTCCCATCTTATCCCACCTCATAATGTTTTGAGTAATGGGGAGAATGAAAGGAAAAAAACTTTGCTGTCAAGCTTTTTATAAACTATTTGTGGTATAGCCGTGAATTGTGAGATAAAAGCCCGAAGGCGTGGTGTCAATAATATTCTACCGATAACAGGCTCTCACTGAGTGATGGCAGAATGCATGTTTCACAATTAAAATGAATTTTAATGTCAGTGTAAACAAAGAAAAAAGAACACTAATTTGCTGTTGCTGCCAGGCATGGTGCCATCTGGAAGACAGGCACGAGGCCAACTGGAAGACATTAAGTCACGAGTGTCATCAACCATAACAATCATGTCACTATCAAAGCATGCCCGTTCCCCCAAGAAGTGGCTGTCATGGCATGGGGACAGTTACAGCCAAATAATCTTATGACATTGATTGTGATTTTAATTTGGAAATGCGTCGTTTTGGAAAATTGAAATTCATCCCTGATTTTATATTTTTTTGAAGAGACTAAGAAAAGGACATTCTGGACCTGTTTGTATAATGACTTATTTTGTAAGTGACAATTAAATGACGATTGAAGAAATCAATTGTCGTTATCCATCATACCTTTTTACAAGCTCTCTAAGCTGTAGGTATAACAAATACATTTTCCAACTTATCTGCTGATTATGTATTCTCTTTTGCCCCTTATACACAGACACACAAAATGCACGCTCACTGTTCACGCTACATTGACTTGAGGCTCCCCCTGCAAATGTAAAAAGGGACACATCAATAACTGAGCAATTAGTGCATCAATAACCTGCACTTCCAACCTTAATGTATTCAAAAGGAATTGGATTTCTCATTGGATTTCTGTATATTTGTGTTCTGCTGTCTTGCTTAATACACACTTGCCTTGCTCTTCTATGGAACAGTGGTTCTTGTGAACAGTTGCAGAATTTGGGGATTTTGGCTTAGTATAACACAATTGACCGTGTTCGTCTTTCTCGCAAGCGCACAAACTAAGGCTACACTGATCTCCCTTATTTTCCCCTCAGGGTCCCTCAGGGTACCAGCCGAGATTAGATCCACTACCTGTACTCGGTTTTTCTATCAAAGTTCTTCTATCAAGTAGCACAATGCTTTAAATAAATTTTAACTTAACAAAAAATGTGGATGTACATATTTTAGATACTCACATACAAGTACCATACACACACACACACACACACACACACACACACACACACACACACACACACACACACACACACACACACACACACACACACACACACACACACACACACACACACACAACAGGTATAATACTGCCATCAATAACTTTCCAAAGTACTGGACCTTGATACTTAACCTGAACGTCTGCTCTCATTCAATTACTAATTGTACTCTATAGAAGCACACACACACACACACTGACTAAGGAAATAATTGTAGTCAAAAACCATTGTTGCATGAGAAAAGGAATTTTTTTTTTTGCCACAGGGAATACAAATCAAAGCAGACTCTAAAGTAATGGGTCATAATTACAGATTTGAAAGGTTCTGAATCAAACATGATGATTACAGTGTTTGAGGTAGCCACTGGCAATTGAACATGGAAAGAAATGTCTGTATTGCGCATTGTTCCAAGCTCCATATGTTAATAATGGCAACATTGCATTTTCCATCTCAATGTTTGAGGCCTCTCCATTAATGAAATAGATCAGTCTTACCAAGGACACTTTCTTGGCAGGTTTTGTAATGATTTATGTTGGAGATTGTGCTCTGTACAGGTTACGTTTGAGCTACTTTGCTTTACAACTCAATGTCTAGTAGTATAATACCAAAATAATGAGTCTCTCAGGCAATCTGATTTTGTACTACACGTTTACTTGATAATGCCGGTAAAACAATGGAATCCACACTGCCCCACAAATTTGTTTTGTGTCTAAGCTCACAAGATGTAATTTCTTGTTCCTACCATAATTCCTACATCAAATTTGGAAGGCTGAGACATTTATTGAAGATATTGAAGCTCTGGGACAGAAAACAATCCAGGCTGGGAAATAGTTGTGATTGCACTTGCAAATGCCTCTCTTTCCTCTGTCATTATTCTGGTCTAATAAATATATTGTGCTCCTAGACCTGCCGCTTATTAACAAAAAAACATTAATTTCAAGGATGTATTCCATGAGACAGTTTGTTTTTAATCATCCACCTATCCCTCCAGTGTGACTTGTTGATGTGAGTTTGTTCTTTTTAATAAGAGTTAAAAGTGGTTGCCTGTGGGGCTTGGTGCAGCTGTCAGGCATTTAATGAGCTAAATCTTTACATAGGATTTAAAAAAGAAACAACGTATTTACACAAATACTCTGCTATTTTGCAGGCAGATCTTCTGATGACCTCATGGAACTGACGTTACAAGTAGTGCTGTTCTGGGTCCTGGTGCTGCACTGTAGCTCTGCTGAAGGCAGTATCCTGTATCGGGTCCAGGAGGAGCAGCCTCCCAACACTCTCATTGGTAGCCTGGCAGCAGACCAGGGCCTGCCAGACTCTGGTCACCTCTACAAGCTAGAGGTGGGTGACCCATACCTTCGCGTCGATGGAAAGACGGGGGACATTTTCACGACAGAGATTCCCATAGACAGAGAGACCCTGCGGGACTGTCGATCCGTTGGCAAGGGTAAGCCCTGCTACCTGGAATTTGAAGTATCTGTGACAGACCTGATACAAAACCAGAGCCCACGACTCATCGAAGGACGCATTGAGGTACAAGACATCAATGACAACACTCCACAATTTCCCTCTTCTGTGCTCACCATCTCTGTCCCCGAGAATACGATCATGGGTGCGCTATTCGCCATACCATTAGCTACAGACAGGGACTCTGAAAGGAATGGAGTGGCGGATTACGCTTTGACCGCAGGGCCCGACGCAGCAACCCTATTCGGTTTACAGGTGGCTGAGGACAGGGGCGGTAAGCTCCCACAGCTCATTGTCCTGGGCAACCTAGATCGTGAGTTAAAGGATTCCTATGACCTCACCATCAAGGCAGTTGATGGAGGAAACCCACAGCGTTACAGCAGTGCTCTGCTAAGAGTGGTGGTCACCGACGCCAATGACAACTCTCCTAAGTTTGAAAGGTCCACGTATGATGCGGAGGTGTTGGAAAACAGTCCAGTGGGGCACTCGGTATTGCAGGTAAGATTGATTATGTCTTATAAAAAATACAATTTTAGTGTGAAGTGAAATAGATAAGAAACAGACAAAATCAAAAAAGCTAAGCTAATTTTTCAAAATGTTAAAATAAAAATAGTTTCTGGGTTATGTGAAAATCTAGAAGTAGATATTTTTATTTTGCCGTTAGGATTCAAAACTAGCCTTACAATTTAAAGTTTTTAAAATGCAACCTATAATGCAGAGCCCATGGGAGCTTGAGCCACACTTGTCAACTCACATATCTTCATTATCAATATAATTTGTTTTTCTTTGTAATTTGTTTTAACTAGAACATTTCTTTAATCTGCCTTTTTACAGAAGAAATAAAGCATTGGGGCATCATTTATATAATGCCCGTGCAGGCAATTAAGCTGCTTTTATATTTTGTTGTTTCATTGTTGTACTTGCAGAAATACAATTAAATATATACAACCATATATTGTAGTGTTGGAGTAAGGTCCTCACTGTGTTTATCGCTGAAGAACCTTTTCTATAGCCCTTTTTCGGTAATAAAAGAAGTGAGGCAAAGGTAAAGGTTAATGAGAAAGGCCTGATTTACCTTTCTTTTAATTAAAGGGTTTAACCATTGAATTCCTTTCATTTTAGGTGAAAGCAAATGACTCTGACATGGGCCCTAACGGAGAAATTGAGTACACCCTTCACCAAGCAGTAGACCCAGTGCCGAAACTCTTACGAATCGATCGGTCCACTGGCATTATCTATGTCAAAGGTTCTCTGGACAGGGAGGAAATTAACAGCTTGTCCTTCTACGTCGTGGCGAGGGACAAGGGTCCTCAACCTAAAAGCTCCAAGACATTTGTAACCATAGAGGTGACAGACCAAAATGACAACGCTCCAGCTGTAGAGATCCGTGGGATTGGTCTTGTGACACACAGTGAAGGAGTGGCCAACATTTCAGAGGACATGCCAGTTGGAACAGCTGTTGCTTTGGTGCAAGTGTCCGACAAGGATGAGGGAGAGAATGCTGTAGTAACATGTGTCGTCGCAGGAGATGTGCCTTTCCAGCTCCGCCCTGCCAGCGACTCGTCCAGTGACAACAAGAGGAAGTATTTTCTACAGACCACCACTCCCCTCGACTACGAAAGGATTAGGGATTATCGAGTAGAGATTGTGGCTGTGGATTCGGGAAATCCAGCGTTGTCTAGTACAAATTCTCTGAAAGTGCAGGTGACTGATGTAAACGACAACTCTCCAATATTCTCCCCAACTTTGTTTGAGGTAGATTTTGCCGAAGAAAACCAACCAGGGGAGAGGGTTTTGGATGTTATAGCCTCGGATGCTGACAGCGGCACGAACGCGGAACTCCTCTATAATATTGTGGCAGACTCGTCCATCAAAGGTCTGTTTGCGATTGACCCAAATACGGGCGAAGTAAGAGCAAGAAGCCCGCTTGACCGAGAGCACAAAGAGCGCTATGAATTCCGTGTCACCGCAGCAGATAAAGGGTCACCTGTTCACAAAGGAACAGCAACTGTTGTGATAAAAGTCCTCGACCGTAATGACAATGACCCCAAGTTCATGCTCAGTGGCTATAGCTTTTCAGTTTTGGAAAACATGCCTCCTCTTAGTCCAGTTGGCATGGTGACAGTGCTAGATTTGGACAAAGCCGAGAACGCCCATATTCACCTCTCTGTAGAGCCCGATGGAGGGAAGTTTGTTGTTCAAAACGGAACGGGCACCATTCTATCAAGCATCTCATTCGACAGGGAGAAAGAAAGCAGCTATACTTTCCGTCTGAAAGCAGTGGATGGAGGAGAGCCCCCTCGCTCTTCGTGTGTGGGCGTTACCATCAATGTGCTGGATGAAAACGACAACAACCCTGTGGTCACCAAACCCTCCAATTCGTCGTTCAGGCGCTTGTCACCTTTAGCTTCCCCAGATAGCCACGTTGAGATAGTGGAAGCTGAAGACCTGGACAGTGGGCCTAATGCAGAGCTGGTCTTCAGCATCGCTGGCGGAAACCCTTACCAGTTATTTCGCATTTCCCCTTCCAGTGGGGAGATTACTCTTGCAAAAGAGATGACCCGAAAACATGGCGGACTACATCGTCTTGTGGTGCGAGTGAGCGATAGGGGGAAGCCTGCACGTCATGCAACTGCCCTGGTGCACATTTATGTCAATGAAACCATTTCAAATGTCAGCTTAGTGGAGGCCCTAGTAGGTCACAGTCTCTACACTCCGCTGGACAGGGATATTGCTGGTGATCCTGACAATGGTTTTGCTGCACAGCGCAGTAACATTTTGTTTGGAAGCCTCGCAGGTGTTGCAGGAGTTGTCATGTTAATCTTGGTGGTGGTATTTGTTCGACACCGCATCCACAGAGAAACTAAGAGTGGGTATCAGGCGGGCAAGAAGGAGACGAAGGACTTGTATGCGCCCAAACAGGTGCCAAAGAACACCAAAGGCAAACGAGGAAGGAAAGGAAAACCCCAAAAGTCCCCAAAACCACTCGGGGAAGATGAAGAAGTCAGCCTTCAAAAGAGTCTAAAGTTCAACCTCGATGGAGTCAATGATAGCCCCAGAATACACCTGCCCTTAACATACTCACCAGGAAGCCCAGATATAGGCAGGCACTACCGCTCCAACTCCCCCTTACCCTCCATCCAGCTGCAGGCCCAGTCCCCTTCAGCCTCACAGAAGCATCAAGCTGTCCAGGACCTTCCCGCTGCCAACACCTTTGTAGGAACGGGAGGAGATGACAACTCTACCGGCTCAGACCAGTATTCAGATTACAGCTACAAGACCAGCCAACTGAAGTACAGCAACAAACAGGTAAAGTCATATCCAATTACATGTAACATCTGTCTTAATGGTCTGTTAGAAGAGTGCCATGATCTACTTAATAGATCATAACATCATTTTTGACATTTTGAAAAGTACATAGTAAATGCAATGGCAGATTAAGGAAACGCAAATTGGATACTCTGCCTTGAAAAGCATCGAAGTGGTTTGTAATGACAAAGATAATCACAATATCAATTGAGACATTTCTATCCTGTCATACTATCTTCGTTTTGACATGTTACTTCTCTTGCGTGTTTAATTTAGTACATCCAAAAATGTTACCTCAGAGTTAATGTGCAAACGTTCCACTACTAGAGAACTTAGATGGCCTTGTGTATTTTATTTTTTCTTCCTGGGCTGTGAAGTAGAGTTCTCAATGACTTACCTCTGCTCCTCCGCCTGACCTCTGGTGCTCTGGTGTTTCCGGTCACTTGCTCTTATCTCCCTGCTCCTTATGCTCTTATCTTCTATTATCCGTGCAACATTGGCAAGGCCCCAATTGCCATGGAAACACATATTTAAATAGACTCAGAGGGGATTACAAATGTAAAATTGTAGAGTCTAGGGATAGAAAGCTATTGTGTCTCTAGGTTTCTGTGTCATCTGCAAGGGTCTGACTGTACGTCTTGGACTAGACACGTCTAGACGTGTATTTGTCCGTGTGCGCAGAATGCTTTTATCCTCAAATAAAAAGATTCTAACCCAGCAGTTTATTACAGCTGCTATTAAATGCATCCCCGTTTTTCTGAACATCCGCTGTACTCGAGCAAAAAAACAAAAAAACATTCAGGACGCAAAAACAGGATGGCGTTACTCAAAAGAATCCCCCACTATATTACTTATCTTACAAATTCAGTACGTCTACAAAACATAAACAGATATATATTCAAATCACACAAAAATGCTTTAATAATGCAATATTAACTTGATATTATTCGAGGTGAGTTGTCATTGGTTCTCAAGACACTTCCATTATGTTAAATCAGAGTGTCATGAATACAAAACAGTTTGACATTCTCCACGTTTGACACACATAAGTTAGCAAAAATACAAGTGGAAAACATGCCGCTGAGTTCTGAAACACGTGTGGGTGACACATTTTCTCTGGAGACATCTTCAGAGCTACGATCACAGTTGGTTAGTTGGTAGTTTCAGCAGATGCTTGCTGACAGTTTAGGTGATCACAAGCCTTTTTGGGTGGAGTCATTTTAGAAAACAGCCACTTCGGTCTCCTTGATGGACAACATAAGGGACCAAAATGACTGCCAGCCACTGGGTGCATCTGGGTATTTGTGTGTAGTGCCAATCTCTGTGTTTGGATGTAGTTCTACTGCTCAGTAAAAGAGAGTTAATTGTTACTGCGCTGCAGATGTACGCTCTAAGCACTTGAAAGTGTTTTGGATTTCTCGATATGGTAACATAAATGCGTATGAGGCATGATTCCAGTGATTGACAGGCTGCGTAAAAACATGGACAGATGTCAAAGCTCATGTGACATACCTCAGCAGATGTTGTCCCATGTATTGCATCCCCGCTCACATCAGGAAGAACAGATTGTCCAAAATATATAATTAAAGTAACTGCCAGGTTATGTGACAGATGTACAGTGGTGCCCCTTCCTAATTAACTGTGGTGTTTTTGACAATGGCTTTTCATTGGGAATGTGGTACAGTGTTTAGCTTTGTGCGTCAAACTTAGTTTGAGTACTTTCCATCTCAACTTCTTTAAATTACTTATTTTTCATGGTACAGATAAGAATTAGATTGTGTTATTAGTGCTTTTCTAAACCCATAGAGTAACTTCGTAGCCACACACACAACATGCGTGGGTGAGTGAACTGTGGTTTGTTTAATGAAGTAGGAATCAGACAATTGCTTATTAAGTTGGACATAAAGTGCTCCATAATGGTTTACGGTTTCTTCAACTTCACTTAATCATAATAATTTGTATATAATAGCCAACGTTTTACTTCAGGAGTCAACAACGTTCTGAATTCATTTGAAATGTTTGGATCACAGGTGTCAGAAACAATGCTCCTCAGCCACCACTGGAATTTAATTCTACAAATAGTAGACTACTAATACAATTTGTGTAGCCTAATCTTTAGCTGCAAGAATTACTGATTTTAAACAGAATGATTAGAAACGCCAAAGTAAAAAGAACACTCTGCAGGGTTCAAATGTTCTTTTAGCATTTGAAAAGTAAATCATAGCTTACAATTTTATACAGCCCTTTGATGTCTCGTGTTGATCATGACACATTTAGCTAAAAATAAATATATAATGGAAAAGCCTCCTATTGTGGTGCAGATAATTTAGTTTTTCCCCTAATAACAACATTTACACTATCAATTAGTGCTTCGAAAATCACCAGAATGCAAGAAATCAAATGTTATGTGTGTTGCAACTTCCGTTGTGATTTACCATTTAAAGCCTTTCTTCAAATAGCTTTACCATTTGCTGCTTCATTCTACCAGGTTTCTGGTCAAAAACTGAAGGGTTTTCTGCTGCCGTAAGATAGCAATGAGACAAAAAGCACTTAAAGACCAACATACCCAAGGACGCACAGAAGGCCGGGATAACTACTTACTCAAGGTGGGTACTGGAAGTGCCCATAATATATATATATATATAACATTTGTTTATATACCTCATGTAGTCCTGATTGCTGTATCATCTTTACTCTCAAAACAATCTAGTGCACAAATACATACATTTATCAATTATTTAGGGGGTTTTCATTTCAAGGAAACATATAAATCTATAACTTCTAGCATTGAAAACAGCTTGGCTAATTAGCAGAGTATTTAAATACTGTTTGCTCAAGAATGGGTTTTTAACGGTGCCAAATCCCAAACAGATGTTTGAAATGTCCTAATTTAATCACAGCATTATCTAAGTACGTGCCAGCCATATGGGCAAGGTATTATTTGTTTTGATTTGTACAATATGAACTAGATGTGCTATCAATTCAGAAACATTTTATTTTCTCCCAAGACTTTATAGATACGTTTTCAGATTTTAATTGCTTTAGATTAACCCACTTTGGCACAGAATTCCTGGAATGTCAGGGGTTTCCAGGGAAGTAGTATATTGCAACAGACACAATGCCTCTAAAGATAGTTAGGGAGGCAGTGGGGGGCGGGGGCACCATTATGTCTCAAAAAAAGAAAATAAAAAAAATGTTTTTTCTAGAATGCTTCTTCCAAAAAAAAAAAAAAAAACCTGAAAATACCAGCAACAGAAGATGGCATCCACAATCCGTAACTACAACTGTAAACAATGGCTGTTATGTACTGTATGTGTGTAGATCCAATGGAATTCAGTATCGTACACTGAACTCCATCAGAGTGAAAACTAGTCGGTGTGTGGGAGGCTGATACAGACAGACTCCTGTTGTTAAATGTTTGAAATACAAGATTTTAAAACGGTTGATTTTATACTATGTCAGATATGAATACAACTGTTCTTCAGCATAGGGAAAATACCGTAACAAATGCAGATGGATCAACAAACAAACCCAAAATATTTTTCTAGATTTACACAAAGTGTTTGGGATGTCTGCATGGATGTTGTACCTTCCTGGTGCTGAACTGGGATCCTTAGAGTTCCTTTCATAGCACTTACACCTGTTCGGGTAATATTATAATTTAAGGTGGGACATTAGGAATGTTCCTCAGGGTCTTGTGAAGTTGTAACTCTCTCAGGTATTTGTCACAATTTAGCTATAAAGCCTTTACATACAGGAAAGTACGGATAGTTCAAATGAATGATTATCAATCTGGGAATATATGTATGAATAATGCAGAGCCTGAGCATGTGTAGTTTAAACAATTTAAGTAGGCATTTCAAATAGTACTTTAGATTTCAATCCCGATTCAGGCCTAACACATTACATTTACAATCATGTACTTTCCGTTACTCATCCAAAGTTTTCGTTAGGTGCTGATGTTGCATAGTTGTATCTACAAGTGACATGACAAACCCTACATTTTTAAGTCAAGAAAGAGGGTGTGCGTGTCTTAACAAAAACTATCCGAGTAGTTTTACCCCCCCGCCCTCCCCCCTTTCCGTGTTCGTCACCTTTAGATGTGTGATCTTGCATGATGGTTGCTAGAGAAACCAGTGACTCACATTAGCCATTAGAGCTGATAATTAGCCCTTTTGGGTCCAAGAGCTGACACCTTTTTTCACACGTCGCTTAATGAGAACCGTTGAGCCAAACACCGTGGATTTCATGCAAGAACAGTTACGTATTCTCATCTTAAAAGGTGCGATGTGATTCAGAGCAATGTCTACCTGCACTGTCTATCTAAACAGCAGAGAAAGTCAACCTTTATCTATTGTAATTGGACCATCACAATCGCAATCACAAGACACGACAGACCCAGTTAGCTCTATTTAAACTCATGTACTGTAAGCTGCGAGACGCAAACTAAGCCGTCGCCATCTGTAGGGTTCCATCTTAGCAGTACAGAGGCCTTTTGCCACATCTGATTCGGCAAACACTCAGAAAATGATGTAAATGACCAGCATAAACATGATGAAAGATACCTGAGCTTAGATGAGCGTGCGCTTGTGACATTTGTACATTATCAATAATACCATACAAAGGAAACTTGGTTTCCTTGTTTGGTACATGCTGTATGTCCATTATTGCAGACCATTAACTAGTGCCGTTAAGGACGAGTGACTGCAAGTTAGCGGCTTCATTGAAAAATAGAATGAATGTTTTTCTATGAAAATCATCTCGATGACTGCAAAATGGGGTAACATATTCTATAATGCTCACAGAAATATGGTATTTTTATACAATAGCATCAATAGCGAGATCAAATGAATGTTGGTAATGCTGTATGAATAACCGTAGGATTATATTGTAATTTCAAATTGATCTCCTTGTAAAACAGGATGATGGCGATATGATAATAGCGAAAAAACATGCTTTAAAGTGATTTAGCATACAATCCATTGAACAAAAACTTGGAT